CTCTCTCTCTCCCCCTCCGAGTTTTCTTAACATACAAGTGTTCCTCAGCTTACCTGTGCCGGAATTGAGTTCGTTTTTGCAGTAAATGTTGTGAGGTAGAGAAGAGATATTAATGAAATTCAGAAAATTGCAAACCATTTGCCCCGTTAAGATAGTAGAGGTTGGATTATGTTCGTATTCTACTCTGACAGTTGCAGTATTTTGTCTAGGTGACCTGCAGCGGGTTATTTATTTGCTCATTATAAAAAGAAGGAGCATGATTGTTTTTGTTGAATACACGCTCCTTGCTGTACTAATTTGTGTACTGTTTTTTTCTGATGGCAAAATGTCCTTGACTGAAAGATGGATGAGAGCGGTGATGGATGGGATTGGATGAGGTGCATCAATATGTATATTCTTGTAAGACCAAACTTACTTACTGATTTACATCTCCCAGGGGGCCAAAGGCAAATCAAGCCTGCCTAATTTCTTAGACCATATCATTGCTTCTGTGGTGGAAAATAAGAAAACATCTGATCCTGCAAAACGAACTAGTAATTTGGCTGACACACAGAGAGAGGTGAAGGAAATGGTAATGGGATTAAATGTGTTGGATCCACACACCTCCCACTCTTGGCTATGTGATGGTAGACTCCTTTGTCTTCATGACCCTAGCAACAAAAACAACTGGAAAATCTTCAGGGAGTGCTGGAAACAAGGCCAGGTGGGTTATGAAAAATAGTCAAGTCTTACTGCTGTAAATATTTTTGAAATTGTAACCCATCCTGCTTTGGTACCATGTCCATTTAAGCTTTAGCCAGTATCAATATGAGGATATATACTGTGACAAGTCTTTTTAGATATCATGTGATTTGTGCTGAACCTGCTCAGCTATAGGGAGTAGGTTCCTTTTGTGCATTGACTGTGATTCATGCATGCAATCTAATATCGATTCCATACTTAATACTCTACAGTCATGGAGAAAGATCCCTTCCTTCTGGTTGCAGTACGTACAAGAATACAAATACAAGAATACAAGTACTGCATGTAGTAATTTGTAGGGAAATTTTGGGGTGTTCTTTATGCAGTGTCTCATCCTCAGACTTGTATGAACCCAAGTATTGCTTCAGTCTCTGTGTTACATATGTTGAGCACTCTCCTGGATTTTCTATGGGATCATCCACCAGTCCATTCTCCTGAAGATTTGGCCTTAGGCCTGTTGCCAGCATAATCTCCTTTCCAGATTTTAGTCCATAGTGCTGTAGCTGTTAGTCTTCTTTAAAGAGCCATTAAAATTGGCCTGGTTAGATAAGCTAAAGCTTAAGAAATTGGTGAGCACTTTTTGCTGTGTCCTTGGGACTTGATTCTTCAGCTGCCTCTGACGCTGCTACCTACAGTGACTACTGAGAACCAGGACCACTGGAGCTAGACAGCTCTGTCCCTCATCATCTTTTCTGGAAAAAGTCCTTGTTCTTTTTCTCCTATTATTTTGCTAATGCTCTTGGAAAGTACATTCCTTGCCTTTTTTGGAATGCTGTCTTGCAACATGTGGGCTTCTCAGCTATGATGAAAGAACAGATTACACCACGTATTTCTCTTCTGAAGCTCAGCATCTATGTCTACAGAAGCCAAAGTATTTTTCAGTCAGCTTTAACCTGTCACGTGGGACTGCATTCTCTGAGGCCTGTAGCCTCAGCAAGCTCACAAGCATGATTAGCACATGGCTGTGAGAGCTGCATAGAGGCATGTGGCACCACCGTCCATAGAGCTTCTAGTTCCTGTTTCTGTTGGAGTCAGTACTCCTCTAGCCAAGTCTTAGAAGATAGAAGAGATTACTGTGCAGCACATTCTCACTTGTCTGACTAGAAACTTAGCTTGCTACTGCTGATGTTAGCTTTCCCCCTAATTAAAGTTATCTTCTTGTCCTCCTGAATTTTTTTTTGACATGTGCAGGGATCCCTCCTGTTTTGAACTTGTTGCATTCCTCTTATTCATGAAGGATTTCTGATCATTCTTTTGCACCCCCATGGTGTCAGTCAGATGTATTTTTCTTGTCATGGCTAAGAACACTTGGAAGCTTCTGGTAAGTATCCCTTGGTAGTTTTTTCAACCACTGCATCAGCAAACTACTGATATATTAGACTAAGGTAGCTGCACGTAGTCTGAAACTGAAGGTTGGTTTGACTCTTTTTTTTTTTTTTTTTGATATGCAAAAGCTGGACATGTGGGTGAAAATAATTTCTAGTATTTTTGGTGTGATGGTAGCAAGTAAGTTCAGCTCTTAAGCTGTGGTTGCATCTGTAAGAAAATGGATTGTGATGGAGTAAGCACTTGTTCTTTGTATTCTCAGCCCGTGTTGGTATCTGGTGTTCATAAGAAGCTGAAGCCAGAGCTCTGGAAACCAGAAGCTTTCAGCTTGGAATTTGGAGATCAAGATGTAGATTTGGTGAACTGCAGGAACTGTGCCATAATCTCAGATGTGAAAGTACGTGACTTCTGGGATGGCTTTGAGATAATATCTAGTAAGTAATACCTAATGGCTAATTAGTTTGGTTGAGCAATGTCTTATTACCTTGACTACCTCCTGCTTTTCCTTCTGTTTTCTTAAAGGGCAGAGGGGAAAAAAAAAGTTCTTGATAGCTGTCAGTCTTGCCCCTTAGGTGTAGGGCACCCTATAAAACATTTTACTGGTGAGAACTAAGGCTGGGCTGCCAAAGTATTTCCAAATACAAATTTTGGCTGTATTATAGCACGTTTCATGAGTTATTTTCATGTATCAGGAGATAGTCCATATCATGGGAAAACTACTTCTTAAATTTTTTCTCAGTAAAAATGATAATCACGATCTGTAACCATTACTTAAGTCAGCATGGCATTTGACTACCCTTACTCTCCTTTCAGTATCAACCTTTATTCTAAAACTAAAGAGAACTCAAAAAAAACTAAAGCAGGTTGAAGTTGGTGGAAASTAAGATTCAGTGGAATATACCAACTAAATAAACTTGAGTTTTATAAATTATTTTTATAGTACGTCTTCTAAGATTTATAAATGTTAGAGAATTGTAATGGTTCATTGTGATGATGCTGATTTTAAAAGTATATCTATATCTATATATTTTTTTTTTTTTGCTATGTGTACATAGCACAAATAGTTGACAAATGGACGATTTAATGGAACGTGTGTTTTTTTTTTAACAGCAAATAGGGTGATATATTTGTAGATCAAGATATGTTTGGGTTCCCCTAGTCATTTTTTAAATTAGAGAGTTCCCAACTTTGTGTAATGAGCAATTTAATTTAAATCTTATATTTTGTACTGTTAAATTTTGTTCTATTCCTGTTACTACTGAGAATTAAAAGGCCTAGAAGGATATAATGGTATTGACCGTATTTCCTGAAAATAGTAAGATGATGTGAATCCAGTTATCTTCAAGAAACATTTATTTGTAGCTTTTTTTTCATCCAAATCCTTCCCTTTAGCAAGCTGCAATGTTGCTTGCCTTCTAGATAGTATCTTTACCATACTTTATATAAGAAATGTTAGTGATCTACACTGGAAAGCGTGATTGTATTTGCTAGTTTCTTTTAAATATGTTTTAATWTTCAGCCAATTCCCAGTTTAGAAGAATAGTATTCAATACTAATGTTCTCACATGTGAATTTATGTGGAAAGAGATTGGAAATTATATAGTGACTAGCTTCTCTGTATAAGGTCTATTTTAGATTTCTCAAATGCGTTGCTGCCTTTATTTTCAGATTCAGTTATTGAAGAGAAGCAGAACAGCTTACTTTGGAGATGGTATAGAGATGATCTCTTAGTTATGCTATCTGATGCTTTGTTAATTTTAGTTGGTTTTAATCTTGTGCTGTTTGCTTTTAATATCTTTGAGTTTTATCTGGATTTCTTGCAGTTCTTCATCTTGATTCTTAAACCTGTTTTCTTTTGTTAATCGGTTTTCTGTTTTTCATCCTCTTTCATGTATTTTGAGAACATTACTCTCTCCTTTAAGTAGCTGTTCATTCTATCCTTTCTGAATACCTTCCTAAAAGATACTTCTGCTTGTTTGGATCAAAGGGGCATGATTTTGAATTCAAAGAGGTTTCAGAACTTCTCATATTCATGATTTAAGTCCTTGAGGACCTGATTCCAACTCACTTGCCAGTCTAAAATCCTTAGTTTATTTAAAAAAAAAAAAAAAAAAAATCCTTTAAATGAGTCATTTTGTCCTACATAGCTGCAATTCTTTCTTCCTTTTAATTTCTATCAGATTATTTTTAATACTGTAACCCAGGGATTTTTTTATAAATTATCTTCTTGATATGTACTACAGGAATGACTCACAGGTCCGAAAGTCCAAGTTTTAGACATGTTTTCTCATTAGGTTCTGCCAGCAGGAATGTTACACATTCTTAGATACAACTAGTTGCTTCTTGTTCAACTGACAATTTTTGATGTGGTGAAGGATTTTCCATTTTGGAGAGAAGATGTGAAGGTGTCAGGCTGTGGTCCTTTTTGTTTTCCAAATGATGGTGTCATGTAGAGCTGCAAARTATCTTGTAGAGCTGTGAACTTTGTTTCCTATAAATGCTGTGAGTTTCTCAAGGTGCTACATTTACTCGCTTTTGGATATTTTCTTAGCCACTCTAACATTTGAGGCAAAACAGCAGTTTATATTATGGTCAATCTGCCATATGGTACATCCAGTTAAGAAAAACTTTGCTATTACGTATGCAGTCTCTTCTTTCTGTGCTAACAGTCTGGTCTCAGGGTAAGACCCTTGAAGAAGGTTGAATTTGGCATCCTTCCAGTTAGACTCCTGCAAGGAGGAATTTTGAAAACCAGAAGCCTTTCCCCCACATTCTTCAAAAATGAATTCTTAGATGAAGTTTGTGTTTTAGAGAAGACTACTGGAAGTGGTTTATCTTAATATGTGGTCGGTCTGTCTGAATGATTCCAGTCTTCCCTCAGCATTCATTCTTAATCAAAATGGCCTATGTTACAATTCAGTCATCTTCTGCAATTCTCAAATATCCTACCCTGTGAATTAGGAGGAAAGTCGTCTGTTTGATGCCTGCTGGCAGCCCTCCTTGGTAACCCCCTCTTGTCCTTTAGCTTTTTGAGTGTGGTATTACCGTCATTTTTTGTCTTATAAGACACTAATTTTAAGTTGATCTCAAAATATGAGCTGATAGCATTTGTTTTATAGAAGCACCACTCCTCTTGRAATGAAACACAAAATTCCTTTATACTGAAAGAGGTAAGGCAGAATGTTTTAGAAACTTTTGTTTTTGGAATTAAAACTCTCCAAGATTTGGTGGCTATGTAGGATCTTCTAAACCTCTGCTATAGGCAGTAATACTACTCTATATCTAATGTTACAGTCTTATTTGGCCATGTATTGTAGTGTTTGGGAGCCCAAAGAAAAAAATCATTATCTGTTTTGCTGTCTTATGGAAAAGAGATATTGCTACAAATAATTTACAGCATAAACAAGGTAATGAGTTGTAATAAATAATGGGATACACATAATCTTAATTCGTTTCTTTCAGAACGGCTCAGGTCAGATGACGGTCAACCAATGGTACTAAAGCTAAAGGATTGGCCTCCAGGAGAGGACTTTCGAGATATGATGCCCACAAGGTAAGTAAGGCTTAGCACCAGTGCGTACAGCACTGTATCTGCATAGGCTGTAATCAGCTTAGAGATACAGGCGTACTGAAAATGGAGCAGAGGAAAATGCGATTTTGTTCTTCTCTAGATTTGAGGACTTGATGGAAAATCTTCCCCTTCCTGAGTATACCAAAAGGGATGGCAGACTGAATTTGGCTTCTAGGCTGCCAAGCTACTTTGTCCGTCCTGACCTGGGTCCTAAAATGTACAATGCCTATGGTAYGTGAAAATAGTTTTACTAGTAGTTCTAAATGTTGATTTTTTTTTTTTTGTGACTTCATGTTATATTGCAAGTGTATGCAGTGCTGTTGTGTTAATCGATAGTCTATGTTGCTTACTTGCCTAGGACACAGTCAGCAGTATCAAGTTATTTACCATAATGACCTTTTGGTCATAGAATAATGTATTCCAGCATACTTTATGGCAAATGCTTATAGTGACTCATCTTTCATTATATCCTACTGCATCTGGCAAAGCACAGTTTTTAAGCTGAAGTTATAAGAGCTCTCACCTTAAGTCAGTAACTAACCTAAACTTTTTTGCATGTAACGCATATAGTGCAACTTGAGCTACTGCAACTACACTCTAACACTGATTTCTACATTTATCTTTAAATAGAAGTAGCATTCTAGAGGGGGGAAAAAAAAAACATTTCAGAGAGGTTATTTTTGTGAGAGCTTTGTTATAATATGTATTTTTTCCCTTTTTAATAGGTTTGATTACTGCAGAAGACAGACGAGTTGGTACAACCAACCTGCACTTGGATGTGTCTGATGCTGTTAATGTCATGGTGTATGTGGGCATTCCCATTGGAGAAGGAACCCATGATGATGGTAATGTCTGAGGAAAGCTCTTTTCTTTGAAAATTGATAATATATGTTAAGAAGAAGAATGTATCCAATGTGTCAAGTGTCATAACTATGAAACAAAACAAGCTGTCTTTGATATTCAGGATCTGTCTGCTGTGCATATTTAAATTGTGGCAGTGTTTCATTGAATCCCAGTAGTGAAAGCAGTGGTGTTTTGCTGTAAATTGGATACATCCTCAAGAAAGTACAGAAAATCATRATGTTACTCTTCCATCTCATGATATTCGAATAACTGCATTAATTTAGTTTGGTTCAGAGGAGTGGGGGTTGATTAGCTGTTGATGGATACAATTCCTGAACTTTATTAAGATGAAGCTTGATATACTTGGGAAGAGTGTTGTAAGATAGCAGTTGCAATAGATGTATGACTGGATTTAGTGAATCAAAAGGGTCATTTCTGTTATGTATATCAAAAATCAGAAGCTATGTAGTCATATTGTTTCCATGCGGATCTTCTTTCAGAGGTTCTGAAAACAATTGATGAGGGAGATGCTGATGATGTAACAAAGCAGCGAATCCATGAAGGAAAAGAAAAACCTGGAGCATTGTGGCACATCTATGCTGCCAAGGATGCTGAAAAGATACGGGAACTTCTCCGGAAAGTATGTTTGTGACGAAGGAAGATTGGACTTAGCACATTCCATGATGAGCTTACTTGTAATAGCTAAATGATACAAATTGCTGTCGTCAAGTGCATAGGCATTCCCATACTCTCCTTGAGGACATTAACCCCCCCTCCCCCCCCCCGAACTTTTGCACTGCATCTGCTTTCTTCTAATACTATTAATAAAGATCTGAATCATCTTAATGAAAGTAGTGTTACACTTTGAAATAGTTTAAAGTTAACCTTATTATGTGTTTGGCAGCTGCCGTTTTGTGGGCCGGCAGTATAAAGTTGTGGTGTCATATTTTGTTTTTGTTTTTTTTTCTCCATATCCTGGCACTAGGTAGGAGAAGAACAAGGCCAAGAAAATCCCCCGGATCATGACCCTATTCATGACCAAAGCTGGTACCTGGACCAGACCTTACGTAAGCGACTCTATGATGAATATGGTGTTCAAGGTTGGGCAATAGTGCAGTTCCTAGGAGATGCTGTGTTCATTCCTGCAGGTGCTCCCCATCAGGTAAGTGTGCTACTTTAGATGCTATATTTGACAAGTAGAATTAAAGCTAGAGCAAAATAGAACTGGGACTCCCAAATAACTATTAGTTTATTGCTGACCTTAGTTCCTTTCTTTGTGAGGGCAATTCTTATAGAAACTATTTTGATTTGGCTGTTAATCCTTATGTTAGTGAAAATTATATAAAAATCTGAATAATGTGTAATTTGATAGAAATAAGAAAATTTAGGGTAAATAGTGAGGAAACATTCCTACTAGTGAAACTTTAGCCTAGGGAATAGAGTAACAGAAAATTACAGATAACGGATATGGCATGCAATTGTGTGTGAAATTAAATAGGCTTCCGTTCTACGCACACACACGCTCTGTATGATTCACTCAGTTTTGATGTATCTGCCATTTGGTATGCTGGGGTTTTTGTTTGTTTGTTTGTTTGTTTTTGTTTTTAGGTCCATAATTTGTACAGCTGCATCAAAGTGGCAGAAGATTTTGTATCTCCAGAGCATGTGAAGCACTGTTTCCGTCTGACCCAAGAGTTCAGGCATTTGTCTAATACTCATACAAATCATGAAGATAAACTGCAGGTAACTACTTGGAGGGTAGTCGTTAAAATATATTTTGTGTTTTGCCAGGTTGGTTCTGTGTAAGAAACAAATTGCTTATGATTTACAAGAAAAACTGAAGGTTTATCTCATTTGATAAATACTTTTAAAAGTAATACATTTACATCTACAATATTATGCAAACAAAAATTAGTATTAATTTCTGGCTTTCCAGAGAAGTCTTTCTCTGAACTAGGATATGTATCAGTATTAAGTATCAGTATGAATGGCCAAATCCTAAATGAGAGTAAAGCAAAGCAGATAAAAAGTGGTGGCCAGTGACAGGACAAGGGACAATGGCTGCAAGTTGAAACACAGGAATTTCCATCTCCATGTGAGGAAGAACGTCTTCACTGTGAGGGTGCCAGAGCCTTGGAACAGGCTGCCCAGGGAGGCTGTGGAGTCTCCTTCTCTGGAGGTCTTCAAAGCCTGCCTGGATGCGACCCTGTGCCCCATGYTCYGGGTGTCCCTGCTGGAGCAGAAGAGTTGGACTAGATGATCTCTAGAGGTCCCTTCCACCCTCAACCGTCTGTGATTCTCTGATTCTGCGAAAAAGATCTATATTAAAATAGTTCTTAAAAAACTTTATTTTGAAGAGAAGCTTGTATTTCACTGAGGTCATTTATATTTGTTTCTTCATTAGTTGTCTGAAGGAGAATTCCTCTGGAGATCAAGGCTGGTTTATTTAAATTTTAATTAATCCCACATAACGAAAACTTAAATAATTTGTTAACTTTCCTGCTAGCATTCTTTTTGTGTATTAGTAACTATATGCACATAAAATGGAGGGATGGACATCTGCAAGGATGGCTTTTCTTGCAAAAGTTTGTATTCCATATATAACCATCTTTCAGCATATCACCCAAGAATTTGCCATATTAATTCTTTCAGAGAAGTCAGCAAAAAATTACTATAAATAAAATTTGCATGAAGTAGAGTCTTCAGACTGTGCAGGAAGACAACATGATAATTTGCTGCATTCTTTCACTTTAGGATTAAACTCTATTATTTTCTTTCTTCTCTTGGGTGCCGGATTGATATTAATCTGAGCAAGTGATTCATCACACATTCTTTCAAAGTAAATTTATGTCAGTGACTTAATTGCATACTTTTTCCTAGGTGCTCACAGAAAAGTGACTTTACTCTAAAATTATGAGTAAATGAGCTGCTGACTGACCAGAAGATGATTTAATAAGGCAGTGCAGTTTTCTAAAATATTGATGTAGACTTGACAGTTAAAATTTGTGCTGTTCATATCCTGAAGCAGTAATACTGCTAACTTCCACTGAATTTTTAGTGCAACTCAGTGTTGTACGTCATATATACTTATGAATATATATATATACACTCTTATGAATTTAACTGAATTATTATTATGAATCAATACCAACATTGACTGCATAGTTATGCAAGACTTTTCATGTTAGTCTGGAGGTGCTGATTTTTTTTTTCATTACAGGTGAAGAATATTATCTACCATGCAGTGAAAGATGCTGTTGGCACACTGAAAGCTCATGAATCCAAACTAGCTAGGTCGTAGGAGTTGCTAATTCCAAATCCCCTGTGAAGTAAGCCTTTTGCTCACAGTATATACAGGGACTGCACGACTGCCTCTGCAGGAGTAGAGGCTTCTCACTAAGAGCTGGTGTGGTCAGTATTACACACACTCTTCAGCCACTGTTTTCTGCGCTGCCTCAACGCTGAAGGCCTAAAGGAAGGTCGCACTGTTACATGCAGAATTCCAGATTCTAATGAAAGGTGCCATGTCCCTTTCCTGTGGCCTTTTGCAAATTGAAATAATGAGGAAACTGCAAGGTGTTCCTGCATAATTTGATTAGAAATGGTATAAAGAGTGTGGATGTTTTTTTTCCTCATGCCTAGTTAGTCTGCACAGAGTTAGAAGGAATGTGCTGGAGGTGGGTTGTCCTACTGCAGCCTTAGTTGATAGCTGCTGAAGGAGTGTGACCAGCAGTAGCCAAATTGCAGAAATTTAAGCAATCTTCCCATATGAAATACAGGCCAAGGAAAATGACAGATCTGTTCTCTACACTCCCCTTCTTGTAGCCATTTCTCTATACACTGTAGAGTTGCAGAAATAAAGGGAGAACCCACTTTCTTTTTTCCTCCAGGAGACTCCTAAAATAGGAGAATTGTGTATTTAGTGAAAAACTAGGTTTGTAGTGATACAGTTAATATTTCATGAAAGTAGATATTTTTAGTATTTTTGAAATACCACAACTGTTCCTGGATTTCCAAGGAAAGGCGCATTACATTTAGTCTTCCTTTCAATAAAATCAAGAAGTGATTTTTAGAAAGCAGGCCAAAATAGCACAAAAGCAGCCAAAGGGGAGTGAATAGAAATTGACACCCCACCTCCCTTGCCCATATTCCTTGTCCCTCTTTTCTACCCCGTCCCTCTATCCCCCTGCTTCCTGAAAATGAGAAGGAAGTAGGAATATGAACTCTGTTCTCATGTGGAGATGTTGTGCATCTCTCCCTGCACTGGTAACCACAGGCAATAGTTTACCTAATGCCAGTGCTAGTTCAAGATCTGTATCCTTTCCAAAAGCGAAGGAAAATTTAATTTTCAGTATCAACTTTGTCCAGAGCTATTTTAAGTAAAATGTTCCTGCTTGATAGAACCGTATTCAGAATTTACTAATGTCAGCATCGATGCAATGGATTTCATTGGGGAAATATATCTACCTTATATCCAGCTGTACTGTAGTGCCACCTGCAGGCCTGTTAATATGTTCACGGTTATTTCATTTTTTTTTAAATAAAAGTCATTTACTGTAACAGCCTGTGCAGGTGTTTTTCTTTTGTTGTTGTTTGTTTGTTTGTTTGTTTTTCTCTCTCCAGTTCAGGGCTCTGACCTCCTTGCCTCTAGGCTGTCTTGGCTTCTGCCCCTGGGTGTAGTATAGGCAACTTGATAACAAGTTGCCCTGTGCCAATCGGAGGGCTTGTTGTGTTTTTACTTTTTATAAGGCTGGAGTCTCAAGTGATACATTCATGATTCTCAGAGATCCTTTGAGTAGAGAATCTATCCTGTCATGAAGCACATCTCCCATGATGTGCTCCGCTTTTCTCATTGTCATCCAAACAGGCTGAGTGTCAGTGTTGCCCTCGCCCGAGGAGCTGTGGTGAGGGGGCAGAGATCCCAGGTTGGATCCCTTGGAGACAACAATTCCTATTTCTGACCTGTTGGCTGGCAGTCTCTGAGGTAGATTTCCGAGTGCAAGTAGATAATTCTTTAGCTTTTACAACTGCACTGCGAATAGCATCTCATCCACTGCAGTTAAAAAGGAAATTCTCTCTGAACATAAGAAAAACCTCTTTACTATGAGGAACAAATTGTCCAGAGGAGGTTGCAGAATCTCCATCCTTGAATAGATATTCAGAAATGAACTGGACACATGCCTGGGCATCATGTCCACGCATCTGCTTGAGCAGGGAGTTGGTCTAAGTGCTCTCTAGAGATATCTTTCAACCTCAGCTAGTCTTTCAAAATAATCATCCTAGCCCATGAACCATTCAACTTCAGCATATTTCATTTGTGAAGCATCTCTGCATTCCTGCTGGGCTCTATGCATAAAAACCATTCTGAGTAGTTAATTATAGCTGAGGTGTTTTCTTGCTTTTGTTGTATGCCATCAGTTGTTATAATTGGCCAGGGGGTCAAAGATTTGGCTACATGTAATGCAATAACTTGGGTCACTCCAAGTGTAGTGATTTGCAGTAGAGTTCTGTATCTTGCACTGAAACTTTCTGCATAGATTGGGTCCACCAAACACTATATTTTCTCTGTCAGTGATCATGCAGTGCAATCAACATAAAACAATATTCAGCCAAAAGCAAAGGAATTATTAGCACACAAATTGTGTGTTAAAACTAAGAAATATGCAGCAATCTGGAATTTCAGAATATCCATGAGAGCGTTATGTGAGTTTCTAAGTTTACACTTGCTTGTGAGCCTGTAAGTTTACACTTTTTCTGTGTTTTCCCTCGCCTCTTTGAGAGTTTGGTTCTTTGTTGCAATCTGCACCTTCAAGCTTCAGAGAGAGGGTTCTTGCTGTGTTCTACTTCACCTTTCTTCTGAGGACACTTAGTTACCCTTCTAAACTTTTCCAGTCATTTTAGTGTTCCCAGTTCCAACTGACCTCATGTTTTTCCTTATTGTAGCAGCTTAACCTCCTGTGGCGGGCTCTCTAGCTCCAACCAGGCATATTCCAAGTGTGGCTTTGCTCAAGTGGCTCTTAAGGAGCAAGTTAACRTCTTATTCTTTTGAGCCGTAATGGATCATTAGTCACCAGGTTTAAACAGCTGTAGAACACAAATAACTATGTCTGAGCTATTCCAGCAGCAGTATACCTGCTAGAAAAAGAAATTGTCTTGATTTGAAAACAATTAACAAATTAATTGCAAATTAATTGCTATTAATATTTTATTTCACAACATTTTGCAATATTACAAATAACTTGATGACAATAAAAATACTACAAAGAATGATTTATTCTAGTTTACTCTGACCAGCAGCTGGGTCTCGTTATGTCTTTTACCAGCCCTTCAAGTATATGGAACTTCTCCTTGAGAGACCATAGGTTAATGAATTAATTTCTCAGTCATCTTTATGATAGAACGTGAGCTCATCATTACCTGTAACTTGCTAGGTTAAAATACCTGTTCTAAAGTTCAGCATTGCCACTTGGCAATGAGCTCCTGCTTGTGACATCTGCAAGGCCTGCCAGCTTTGCTCATGTTCATATTCTATTGKTCTTACCACCATGTAATGGTAATGTACCATACATGATCATATATGGCTCCGTAGGCAGCTTGTTGTACTGTTCAAGACAGCACAGCCACTTACCTGTGCTGTTCAGCACTCATGGCCTCTTCACAAACCGAATGTCCAGGTCACCACATGTTCCAGCCATGACATACGAACGTGACACATAAGGCATCATTCGGGTACCAAAGCCACAGTCGCTCTGGTGGCTGGATGAAGTTAGTGGTTTGTAAGCAGAGGGAAGGGTTGTGCATGTTTGTACAGTCTGAATGCGTTGGGCAGATGCCTTCCTGGTGGTAGGTCATTTATCCAGTCAGTTGCTCTGTGTAAGGACCGTTTTGGAAGGGGGAGCTGCTGGCATTGTTTCTCATTGTTCCAGCTTGTTAGGCTAGAGCTCCTGCAGCCCTGAGAACATTCCTTCCCCTTTGTTCCGCTCTGCCTCACCTGACCCTTGGCTGCGCAGAGGGGCATGGGCATTTGGCAAACAGCAAGGTTTTGCCACGGTGCTGCTGCAGTTTCCTTGTCCGCCTCTATGAAAAATCCCATTAAGTTCTCTTGCACAATAACAGTGATTTTATGCAACGTTGGAGTTCAGTGCTGCATGCACAAACCCACCTCTCCTCAGAGCTGGGGGCAGTGGTGCCCCGGGGCACCAGAGGAGGTGTGTTGTGCAGCTCGAGGCCCCTGGTGCTCGCGGGTGAGCTGCTCGGCAGGCCCCGGCGTGGGATGGGAGGTGTTGACCCTCCTTCCCGGGAGGCCTGGCGCTTGCTGGGAACAACCGGCTGCGCAACGCCGCCTCCCGCCGCAGCCTCGGCGCTGCCGGGAGGCCGAGAGCCGCCTCAGAGGACCGCGGCGCGGAAGACGCCCGCCCACCGCCGCGCCTCAGCGTCACCCTCGCCCGCCTCGGGGCGGGCCGGGGATGCTGGGGGCGCTCTGCGCGGCTCTCCGGCCCAGACGCAGCGGCTCCTCCCCCACGGGAGCCGGGCGGGGCTGCGCCGCTGCAGGAACCTGCCAGTCGCGCGCCGCCTCGCGCCGCCGCCGCGCTGCGTGCTGGCCCTGCCGCCGCCATGGTCTCCTGGATCATCTCCCGCCTCGTGGTGTGAGTGCGCTGGGCCAGGCTGGGGGCGCGGAAGCGATGCGGCGAAGCTGGCGGTGTGGGGCGGTGGGGGCTGCGGTTGTGGCGGGGCGCGGCCGGGGCGGCGGCCGCCGTGTGGCCTCTGAGGCGGCGGGTCCCAGCGGGGCGGCGGCCCTGAGGGTCTGTTCTTGCCGYAGGCTGATCTTCGGCACACTCTACCCCGCGTACTCTTCTTACAAGGCCGTGAAGACCAAGAACGTGAAGGAATATGTGAGTAGGGAGGCCTCCTCCCCGCCGCAGGGAGTGGGCACTACCAGAAGCAGAGTGTTGGGCGAGGGAGAAGAGTCAGGAGGAAGGGTACCCCGGGAGACGCTTCGGAACCTGGCCGCAAATTCTGTTCTCCACCTCAGCACTTGCCTGACAGCCCCTTTTCTCCTCTTTTACTTAAAAAAGCCAAGTAATTCTTGGATTTCATCTCCCTGCACGCCTCCTCAGTGCTTCCTGGTGGCCAGCACTGCCCCCTGTGAGCTCCCCTCTGCCAGTACCATTTCCACCATCGCAGTGCCTGAAGCAGCAGGCGTTTTTCACTGACGCCGGCACAACTTGCGCCTGTAGAGACCTACTCCGAGGTGGCCACTGGGGCCATGGGCTGTTTGGCTTGGGGTGGGATGGGTTTCTACGCAGGGAAAGCAGCAGCTGGATGGAGATCAGAGGAAACACAGGCAATAGGACATTCACCGTGTCACTACGGCTCAGTCATGGCTTGTTGGTGCAGCTGATGACTCTCCATTTCCCTACTCTGTTCACCTCTTACAGAGTGACGTGTTAACGATATGCACTGCGGGATCTAGGCTTACTGTGTCTCATGTTTCCATCTGCAGGAATTGCACATTCTGTGCACTGGCTTAAAATTTAGCCAGCTAGTTTGCAAGGACTGTCCCTGGCGTGTCCCTGGCGTGCCCAGTGTTCGGTCAGGAACACTGTATTCCTTTCTAAACTGCTAAGTTTCTTCATGGTTACTGGGTGGGAGAAATTATCAGAACTATCATATGATCCTATGATTTCATAATTATCTGTGCAATCTGATTGCTGCCTTCCTTGGTGTTCCCCTTCTCTTTCCTTGCAGTTGTTTATCACCCTTGTTCATTTAAGCAAATGCAGATTTTAYTCAGAATTTCAGTCTTGCTCCAGAGTGTCTGTCATGGAAGGATTGTGTTCTAGCCACAGGGTCTGTGTTAACTTTATGGCAGACTCAAATTTCGTAGTTTGAAATTGCACTGTTGAGAAATTTGAAAAAATGATCTTTTTTTTAGTGTCTTCTGGCATGCTTGTTCTAAAGTTCAGAAATCTAGCAAATATGGGACTCTCCAGTTTGTAGGCATTCTTTACAGGAAACTTGCTTATTATCTGTGAGCAGCAGAGTATTTGAGGCATATAGTACTGTCCGTTTTGCAGAATGCAGGTGTTGTAGTGACATGATTTTGTTTTTTGTTTTTTTTGGGGGTTGGTGATATCTAAATTACCCAAAATAGTCACTAATTTGACTTCAAAAAGGAAATGAGATAGAATACTGGGCATCATAAAGTCATCCTAACAGTAATGTCTAAGACTGTCAACTAATCATCTAACTGTAAGTCCCACTAGTGCCCTGAAAAATCTGGGATTCATGCTTTATTGATGAGTTTTCTTGAAATGGATAGTTCTGGATTGCTGAAGCAAAGAACTTGTTCTTATTCTTGGTTTAAGTGAAAATACTGAAGTTGGTTCAAGATACTGTATTTGAACTGCTGAAATAAATCTTATATTGAAATTCTTTTTGCTTTACAGGGCTGTATTAAATATAAGCATTTTGATATTGGAGTACATCTGCTCAATTTGTTAATTATTGGAGGAATTTCTATTTCTCAACAAAATGAGAAGACAGAGAAAAGAAGTATGATTAAATAAAAGCAAAGCGGTAGTATCTGTTTACACCATTCTTCACATGAAAAGGTAGTGGAAAATTGGAATGCTGTGCTGCATGTTTGGGCCGGGAACATCTACCCTATGAGGAAGGGCTGAGAGCTGGACCTGTTCAGCCTGAAGAGAAGAAGGCTGAGGGGGAATGTGATCAATGTATACAAATACCTTAACGGAGGGAGGAAGGAGGATGGGGCCAGTCTRTTGTCACTGGTAGCCACTGATGGAACTAGAGGAAATGGCTACAAAATGAAGCACCAGAAGTTCCACAGAAGCTTCAGGAACGGTGACAGAGCCGTGGAACAGGTTAGCAAGAGAGATTGTGGAATCTCCTTCTCTGGAGATCTTCAAAACCCACTTAGATGCAATCTGTTCCACATGTTCTAGGTGACCCTGTGTGTGCAGGGGGTTGGACTAGATGATCTCTTAAGGTCCTTTCTACCTTTAATGATTCTGTGATTCTGTGCACCGCCAACGATCCGAACCTCACTGTTTCCTCATGATACTGAAGAGCCAATGCGGGGGCCAAGAGAGGAAGGACTCACAGGGTAACATCTGTGCTAGAAAGYGTGCTGAGGACTGCATTGATGAAGGTGAAGGTATCAAAAGCAGTTCAGCTATAGCATCACACAACACAGTGAAAAACTTTGTTTTTAAAAAACCCACTTTTTTCTCTCCTCTGCTAATGATATAAATCTGTTTATGGTAGCTTCTTGGGCGGTTGTGACAAACTAGTACTTGTATTTCAGACTCTTAAAAAAAAAGCAACTAGTTTCTCTGTGCTTGTGATCCACAATTTTGTTCAGTACAACTGCATTTGTATTCACTAAATTATGTAGGTTCTTAATGCAAACTGGGAAGATTTGATATGCTCTGTGTGAGCTGATGTTGATAATTATCATTTGAGTGGCAAAGGCCTCATGCCTTTTTAATGGCTTGCAAAAATTACGACTTTGTTTGACTTTGTAATCAACAGTTTGTCAAAAACAAACTTTGTAAGAAAGAAAATGTTGATTCTTCCCCTACTTCCTGTAAGTAGGGGACGGTTCAGGGACTCCCAGAGCTAGCTGGATTCCTCTTGTTTATTCAGTAGTTTTCTTCCATGTACTAATCTTCCAGGACCACATCCCAAACCTTCTTTACTCATTACATCTGCTATCTTGTTTTAATCAAGCGGGGGTAACAGGAGATGTTTTTAAATGTTCACACTTTTCATTTGGCTCCTCTGGATTCTTACTGTGAAAAGTAATGAATATTTAGCACCTCCAGAACTATTGTAGGAAACTTTGGCTTTCAGAGACTCCATTTGTGTCCTATTCTTTCTTCGTTTTCTCTTTTGCAGGCTGAAGAGTCTATTTAATGCCTCTCTATAGAGTAGTTACATACCACTTGTGTGTGCAGCTATATTTCTCTTTTCTTTATCCATAGAGGATAGTACATGGTGGTAGATAATAGAGGTAGCAGTAGGCAGCAGCAGGCGGGAACCAGGCCTGTGTCCAGCATTGAAACTGTGAATATATTGTGTGTTTAAACAGTAACATAATGATGTTTTCGATTGTACTTGTTTCGTGGACGTTCTGCTAGCATTTAACACATCTAATGAGCATTTGGCTTGTTGTTTCCCGAGACTAGCTATGATGAGGTTAGGAACTCATTTGTATACCCCCAATAGCTGTCACTGGGGAAAAACAGAAACTGCTTGGTCATTACTTCGTATTTAATGACACTGAGTGATTAAGCGGTCAGCTGAAGAGCAGTCAATTCAGATGTCCACTTCTGAACTCTTTTAACTTTCTGAACCAGTGTTCAACTAATTCTCTGGGTGGAAAAGTATGTTTTGCAAATGCTATTGTCACAGAATCATTAAGGTTGGAAGCAACCTAAAGAGATCATCCAATCCAACCCCCCTGCTCCAGCAGGGACAGCCAGAGCACGAGGCACAGGGTGGCATCCAGGCGGGCTTTGAAGACCTCCAGAGAAGGAGACTCCACAGTCTCCCTGGGCAGCCTGTTCCAAGGCTCTGGCACCCTCACAGTGAAGACGTTCTTCCTCACATGGAGATGGAACTGCCTGTGTTTCAACTTGCAGCCATTGTCCCTTGTCCTATCACTGGCCACCACCGGGAAGAGCTTGGCCCCTTCCTCCCAACATTCAACCTTCAGGTATTTATACATATTAATCAGATCCCCTTTCAACCTTCTTCAGGGAAAACAGGCTCAACTCAGTCTTTCCTCGTACGACAGATGCTCCAGTCCCTTAATCATCTCTGTTGCTCTCCGCTGGACCCTCTCTATAAGCTCCAAATCCCTGTTGTACTGGGGAGCCCAGAACTGCACACAGTGCTCCAGGTGCGGCCTCACCAGAGCTGAGTAGAGGGGCAGGATTACCTCCCTCTCCCTGCTTGCAATATCCTCCTGATGCAGGCCAGGATCCTGTTGACCTCCTTGGCCATGAGGACACTGCTGCCTCATGGTTAACTTCTTGTCAACCAGGACTCCTAGGTCCCTTTCTGCAGAGCTGCTCTCCAGCAGGTCAACCCCTAATCTGTACCGGTGCCTGGGGTTATTCCTGCCCAGGTGCAGGACCATGCAGTTGTCCTTGTTGAACCTCATGAGGTTCCTCTCTGCCCACCTCTCCAGCCTGTCCAGRTCCCTCTGAATGGCAGAACAGCCCTCTGGGATGTTGGCCACCCCACCCAGCCCAGTATCATCAGCAAAAAGGATGTGTTACCCTATTGTCGTATCATCATCACACCTTCTGCCACATCTTTCAGGAAGATGTGCAGTGCCAATCTCAACACTGATTCCTTTGGGATTCCAGTAGCTACTTTGAGCATTGTGAAGAGCGACCGTCTTTTTTTATTCCTCGTTGCCTATCTTTTAAATAGTCACTAATCCTTAGGCGCCCCTTCACTTTTTAACCTTGACAGTTTAATTCTCTGATAGTCTTATCCTGCTGGAAACCGTGGGAATGTTGTAAACCAGGTTTGTGAGGTTACTTTTTATTTTTTCTTTATTTAAGCCCAAACACCCATATTCTTCATTATTCGTCATTCCTTATCTATTTATCTACTAATTGCTTTTGTTATGATTTCCTATTACAATTTCCTTTCCCTAAGACTAAAGGTAGATTTACTGGTATGTAGTTCCTCAGAAATCTCTTGCCCGTGTTGAGGTCCTGCTTGCCTTTCATTCACCGTTATTTGCACTCTTTTCTCCCAGGGGCTGATTTAAGTTGCCGAATCCAGACATTAATGATTTATTCCCTAGGGTTGCTTTATAAGTCAAGGGCATAATTCTTCGTTCTGTCCAAAGTGGTGACATCAGGCAAAAAAAGCAGGGAGAGAGACGGAGAATACCAGTTTTACTACATTGTGTTTTGAAAAGTTGTGCAGGAAGTGGAAATCAACTAGGTTACTAATGAATATCTAAAAACAGTCAACTGTTTTGGAAGGTTGGAGGCAATTATCTATATGTATCTATCTATATATATCTATAAATTTTTCTGAGCTTCTTTCTATTACAGATCACCAAATTTACCATCTCATGTAGATTTGGGGAAATATCAGCCTTTATAACTTTACTTGCTGTAATTGAGAATGTTGCTAAACTTTTAATGTCATTTCAGTATGTGAATTACTGCTAAAAATCTACTCCAGCAATGTTAAGATCACTATTACCAAAAAAAATCAATGCTAGAATTTCGTAACTCTACACGCTAACAAGTGTAACTGTACAAGATGCAAAATGTTTTAAAATCATTTGATAGGAGAAGAAAACTAAACCAAATATGATACTTTTTTTTTTAATTTATAGAAAATTCAGTACAGAATTTCCATAATTCTAATCATGTCTCCTATTCTTGACATTGAGAGTCACATTTGCTTTAAGTAAAGGTGACCTCCGTTCTCTGCTGCACGTTTCTAGGAAGACAGAAGACTGTCTGCATCCCCATCCCAAAGATCCCGACTTWGTTGCTGGAAATTTTGGGGTAGCAAGTTTTATAATTTGACTTGTCTTTCTTAGGGACTATTGTCATTTCGCCTGTAACTGAGAAATTTGTTACAAAAACAGTAGATGAAGGATTGAGGAGGGGGGAGAGGTTATTTTGTACTTACTTTGGAAGAAATATTTCCTACTTGAGGGAAGAATATGAGGAAGTAGGAAGGTGGACATTATGCTGCAAGTGTCCCTTAAGAGCACTAAATACACTTGGTACACTAGACTGGAGCTTAAACAAGAAGATAGTGAYATGTCTTTCTTTTCCTACCCATTTTACTGAGACGTTATTTTAAAAAAAAAGAAAAAGGTCCCTTATGTAATATTATTAGTATAGTCCCTRTGTATTGAAAAAATATAACTTTTTAATGAGAACTGCTGAATATTTTAAAATCTCCTATTTGGGATCACACCACTATTTTTGTCATGATACTGCTACAGGACAGACATTTTCCAATATATCAGTACTCATTTATCTGCTTACAGAACATTAACCGTCCATGTTTTCCCAGATTGTAGTGTAACATCTGGTACGTGACCCTCCGTCAACAATAATGTATGCCTTCTTGCTCTTTAATTTTTATTAATTTATAGAAGTGATAAGTCATTTTTTACAGATAAGATGTGTTGCTTTCTTTCTGGGTTCTGATGGATGTCTAGTGAGTGACTGCTCTTTTGTAGGTGAAGTGGATGATGTACTGGATTGTGTTTGCCTTTTTCACCACAGCAGAAACACTAACAGACATTGTTCTTTCTTGGTGAGTATCTTGGTGGCTCATTTTTTATGCAGGGGAGAGAAGTAGTGATGGGATACTAAGAGTAAACCCCATCTCTCCTCTGGGCCTTTTCAACCCCCATGAAGAGTTTGAAGGTTTCTAGGCACTGTGGGTAGCAGCTGTTCTTTCAGCTGTTCTGTCTCCTGTAGCTGCAAACGGCTAAGATGGGTCTGAAAGGTAGTTTTCGTCCATTTGTTGCACAAAATGCTTTTGAGAAGCTCTTAGATGGACTAGTAGAATTCAGGAAATGATGATCTAGAAGACACATTTAAAAAAAAAAAAAAAAGAGTGGGAAATCTGTTTTCTATTGCAAGGCTGTTGTTTGGAGAAGCATATCAGATGCATGTCAGAGTGGTGTCTGAGTGGTGTTTTATACTTTAAGAGTTTCTTCTACTGTCAGAGGTGGGGGAGAAAGAGCAAGTTCTTAAGCTTTTCAGTGCTACTTACTGTGCTTGACAGTATCTGTATGGAGACCTCCAAAACTGGCAAATAATTGTTTCACATCTTCTACTGGACTGATCTTTGGAACAGGAAGTCTTCTATTTCTTCATTGCTTTAGTATTTTTGCTTTGCACATATCTCTGAAACAATCCACCCTAGTCTGAATTGCGTCTTTTAAAGAAGCATGATTTGGCTACGACTGTCTTGCAGAAGTACTCAGCAGTTTTGCCTCTTCCTGCCTGAACTTTGAAAAGTAAATGAAGATCTAAAACGTACAAGAAYTTTGATTTGTTTATTTACTAAAAATGGCCCACAAAATACAGAAGTCTCTTATACCAATATATGCAGTAGAAAGTTTGCATTCAAGTCCTTGGAACTCTGCAGTCTTTCCCAGAGACTTTACTGAATGAAGGCTAAAGGTCAAAGACTTACATTGTCAGCTATTTTTCATTTACACTGATCCTCATTTTTTGTCTCATCTGAGAAGTTTTTGTCTCATCTGCTGGAACTTKTAGAAACTGAGCCATCAGCCTTAGCAAGTACTTTAAGGTTCTTGAAAACCTAGTTGTAAGTCTTGGAAAATAAGAGGGAAACTACTATAACATTAACTTCCAATGAATGGTCTCTAAGCAAACTTCATAATGGTGAGAATGGCTATCAGATTGTAACTTGGTGTGTTTGCAGGGCTGAGGGATGCCCTATTTATGAAGTATTCATGGCTATGGATGAAAGACTAAATGACACTTGAAGAAGGTATGTCCTAAGGTTTCAAAGAGGGGTTTGCTCTTCTGACATAACATACTGATGCTTTTTTGTTTTTTTTCTTGAGTCTTTACTCTTTACTTTGTTTTTTCTGCTTTTGCTACTCTCTACCAGTTGTCTCCCTCTGTCTCTGTACTGATCTTGATTCCAGTTCTCCATCTTTCTCTTTCTTGTTTTTTCTTCTCTTTCTTTCTCTCAGGTTTCCCTTTTATTTCGAGTTGAAAATCGCATTTGTGATTTGGCTGCTGTCCCCTTACACCAAGGGCTCCAGTGTCCTCTACAGGAAGTTTGTGCACCCAACGCTCTCCAATAAGGAGAAGGTATTTGCTTCTTGTCAGAAGATATTGACCTGTCTGGAAGTTGACTGACTTCTCATTCAGTTGTGCCACAACAAAAATTGAAATGTCTCAGTCACAATTGTGCTAACATTAGTGGATGTAGAATGATTTTGTCTCTGACATAAAGATGTCATACTACAGCTAACTGAAGATGACAGTCTAGCCAGTTGTTCCTCTAATGCTTAGAAAGCATGTTTAATTAATCCAGTGACATGAACCATCTAGTCACCATCAGTTAATCTCACTGAATCGTGACAGAAGCACTATATTCTGTATCCAGACTGTTCTTTCATGTTCTCAGTGTAAGTGAGCACATTGTTTCAGTTGGTGTAAATTGAAATAGCTTTCTGTAAATCAGTATTGCTGCAAGCGTTCTGTAAATGGCAAGATAGATACTTGATCAATGGCAGCTGATGCTGGTAGCCTTGGTAAAAGGATTCTGATGAACTCTGTGTTTTTAAAGGTGATATTGGGAGAGACTTTGCTCATATTTGTAACCAGGACCAAAATGCTTTGTTTCCCATTGCTTTCCTAGGAAATTGATGAATATATCACTCAGGCTCGTGACAAGAGCTATGAAACCATGATGCGAGTTGGCAAGAGAGGGTTAAACCTTGCTGCCAATGCAGCAGTTACTGCAGCTGCAAAGGTAATGCCATGTCTGTGTACTGCAAACAAAATGTAAGCTTCTGTGACATGCATGAATCTGCCAGCAGTTTAGCTTTGTGCCCTCAGTTAGTGCTGTGGGTCTTTTGTTGATGCTGTTAGTTTTTCAGACGAGTCAACTTTTCCTTTCTTCCAGTTTTTCTTGCAGTTAATCCTGTCCTGACTTGCAGGAAGGGGAGATAGGGGAGGATGGAGTTTTCCTGTAGTTTGCTTTTTCTTTTTGGTCATGGAGGTGTACCTCTCTTTTTTTTTCCCTTTCTCTGTTCTTTTTGGAATACTCTAGTGTGGAATGAGGCACCTTCCTACTTCTGAGATGATCTTGGTGAAGACAAAGTGTCCTTGACACAATTTTCATGTTCTTTTAGGGTCAGGGAGTTTTGTCTGAGAAGCTGCGAAGTTTCAGCATGCAGGATCTCACTCTGATTCGGGATGAGGATACTGTCCATTTGCGAAGCCATGAGCCACAGTTGCGCCCCTCTGCTGGGAGCCTCCTTGAAACCATTGAGGATTCAGGTACAGAACACAACTGCTATTCCACTCTGTGAGGTCTCGTATGGTAAGCTGGGACAAGATCCCTGTGCTTCATGCTGAGTCCCACAAGAACTAAAGGACTGCAGATTACCAGAGGAAGCTGTGTTATCCTCCATAGTCCTTTCCCATCTTCTAACACATCTCTTTGCTGTGTGGGTTATTTTTCATAAGGATTGTTGACATCTCTCCTCCATATGGTCCTTAATGACTTCCACCTGAGATTTCATATACTTCTTATTTTTCCAAAAGTCATCAATAAAAGTTTTTCTTGTTTTTCCTTAGCTTCCTGTTACTCCTCAGGAGAGGAGAGCAGTGTGACACAGAGATCTACTGGAAACCCGTCTGAGACTAGAACAGATCCATCAGATGAAGATGCAGGAGACAAACTGCCTAAACGTACCCAGAGCCTCAAAGCATCAAAGAAGATGTCAAAAAGTGAGGTGAGCTACTGTGCAAGTTACTTCCAGTACAGGCACTGATTTGTGAACTTTGTTGGGAGGCGTTTGCCTCACAGTCTCACAGAGTTTAAAAGTTGTTTATATGTCAATTTTGCTGGAGTAAGCTTTGCTAGAAGGGTCYTACATGAGAGCACTCACTGTCTTAAAGTGCAACTACTATGCAGGTGTCCAGCTTCTCTAGTCCTATGATGCCTAGAAATCTCTGACATAACACAGGACCTGAATTTTTCTTTCATTCATATGTTGTGTTTAAGGTCAGGACATTAGATTTTTGTTGTTGGCACATTTTATTGGCTTTCTCTCCTGTGTGTTACAGACCCTCTGAATACATAGTACTGCTGTGACCTTTATTCCTGGGTCACCATCTAAAATACAGATGTTCTGTACCCTCTTAAACCTTCCTGAACTTCTGCATTCTTGATTTGGCAAAACTATAATTTGGAGCTCATTTAGGTTTTGTCCTGTCAAAGTAACTAGTCATTGTTGAGCCATGTGATGCTCCCAGGTGTTTACAGCCATATCGAATGGGCATGAGCTGCCTGTATTCATATCACTGAAACACACCAAATATAAAAATGAACGCAGTTGCGTTTTGTAGTAGTTCAGTGATCTTTCCATTCAGAAGCTAACATGATTTGTGGAGTATGCCCTTCAGAATGATGCTTCCCAGGTTTTTTTTCGGTTTGATTTGTACATGATACAGTACATCTCCTCCTAAAGTTGGAGATACCTTGTATTGTTTGCTTGGCTTAACTCAGGCTCCTGTTACTTCTTTTATTTATTTTTATCATGAAGAGTGATATATGACTAGATCACATTGTAGAGCTTTTCAGGCTAAGTGTAATAATTGAGTAATCGAGATAATAATTAGCAAAGCATATGTTAGGTTGTACTTTTGACCTTGAGTTTACAGTRTACAAAACCAATTATACGTAATTAGGCACTCTAACATATGTGACATACGTCTGCACCTTTTCTTCTGTTTAAAAATTAAGATGTTAAAGTAAACTGACATAAGATGTCTCTTTCTCCTCAGCTTCCAGTAAGAAGTGTGAAAGCTCGCCCTAAGAAGAAAGCTACAGTCTCTGTTGCTTCTGTTGAGTCATCCTAAGGAGACCTCCGCATCCCCAGCATCTGTCTCTGTCCCAGGATTTGCCTGTCACCTTCGAGGGGAAGCTTCAAAGGAAGGGAGCTGAGATTCATGTACATAACAGCTACTGCTTTGTAGAGCTCTTTCCAAGGCAAGGGGGAGGCTGAAATTTAGAATATGAATTAGAGGATGCATATCCTCTGGAATTTTCTCCTTTTCATCTTTCTGCTGGAGCGGATGCCAGTATGTCTGTACATAGTCTGTTGCTTTGGGATTCCCTCTGTATAACCGTTGTTGAGGAGAATCTTTGTTGGAAGAACTGACTAGGGTTAGAGACATCCTTTGTACAAAAACTGGAAAAGATATTAGACACTGGAGTTCCACAGGGGTGGGTGGCTTCCCAGAATGTCATGTCTTGCTCTGGGTTTCCTTCTGCAGCTGCATGTTGTTAAGAAGTGCTCAAGATAATTCACTCTCCTTTAGAATGACAAATACCTGTCATACTAAGTCCCTTTCACAAGGGGACTGAAGTGATGTGTGCTGAGTACTTTTGAACATAAGAAGGACTGGTTTCTTGGAGGAATGTTGCAGATTCCAGTTCCTGGTACTGGAAGATAAGAGTTTGATTTTTGTTTTATTTTATTTTTCCAGAAGGTCACGTGAGGGAATTGAAAGCTGAGTTACGAAGAAAAAGTTCTAGTATACACACATGTGATGAAGCAGATACAGGTATTTGTAAGAGTTAACTTGAGAAGGAAAGTGGGGTATTCATAAGGTTTTTGASTTGCTCCTTGAAGCGGCTTGGATTTTATTTCAAGTTCTGTTGTTTACTTTAATAAGAGCACCTGTAAAAACATCAGTGAGAGAAGGAAAAATGGGCAGAGGGAATGCAGGAAGGGAGTGTTTGAACTCTGTATTGTCCTGATGGTTATTACCACAAATTATCTCATTATCCTGATACTGGGGAAAGAATAGCATTAATACAGCCTTCAGACATACCTGGAAAATTTCAAGAAGTCCTTGTCTCTTAACTTTAGGAGAGCATAGAAAGTGAAAAAAAAAAAAAAAAAAAAAGAACAGTTGAAGTATGAATTTCAYTAATCTTGGAATTCCTTTTATAGGGAGAGGAGGGTGAAAAAAAAAAGTGGGGCACGGTTTTGAGATTAATCAGCTCTCTTGCTTCATCCTACTTCTGCCCTTGGACATTTCTTTTTCTTTCTGTCCATATACCGTATTTATCCGTGTCCTGAGATATGAGCAACGTGCAACACTTGATGCAGAGCCACGAAGTAGGGTATATTTTCTGGAACTGAGACTGCACGCACGTAGCCCTGCCCACGTACCAGCAGGTTCACTGGGGATTTATGAGATGAGTAAAGTTCCTGCTGTTGAGATACATAATGGGGGACCACCGTTATAAACATGGCTGGCTGAACAAATACTCCATGGTCTTAATTTACTGAAACTAGTGACCAAAGCAAACTTATCTCCTCCTTCCCAGCTGAAGACCACTCCTGGCTTTTGGTGCAGGCGTTCTTGTTTGCCTGTGCCTTTCATTGTCATATTTCTGAACTGGGGKGAACTCTGCAATATCCTGGTGTTTTGCTGCTGATGGTAGCATCTGTAGAAGTAAGTACTTCTACAGATAAGACATATTTCTGGTGATACTCTTTCTGTTCTAAAAGATATCCCTTCAGTAATTTGCAACTTTGAAGATTGGGACTGCATTTTTGCTTGTTTCCATTGTCTTGATGGCAGATTTTTATGAATTGCTTAGCTATTCAGGGAAAACAAATTATTTTTGCTTTTACTGGTAGCTTTACAAGCCATATGAGAAACATTTATTTTGTCAAAAATGCTTGTCCTAAATTACACATAAATCCTTTGAGAGCCTATTTGATTTGGCTTTTATATATATATATATATATATATATAAAAAATACACACACACACGCACGCGCGCACACACACACATACAGTAGTTTGTTCTTTTTTGTTACTAAACAGTGTATCCATATGTCATTAGTATTGTACATGCAATTGCTTGTACTGAAGCAGAAATTCTTTCTGTTTCCAATGGAAATCTCTCTTTCCATATGAGTGATAAAATATAGGAGAGAAAGTCTTTATTGAATGTATAGAATATTCAGTTGTGAAGAACTGCTGTCCTCGTCTATGCTATAGAGCAAGAAAGAATTATTATTCTCTATCCACTGAGTACCTCTGTGACCATATAACTTGTTTTCTTTTAACATAAAAAATCTCCATAGCAAATTATTGATAAAAATGATTGTGAGGAACTTGATTCAGAAACAAAGAGGTAGTATGTTCTTGTCCTGATTTTACTGCCTATTCTTTGTATGTGTGTTGTGCTAGTCTCAGATTACTTTTGAGAATGCTATCTAAAATCAGTTCATTTCCCCTGTTCTGAGATACAGAAAGAATTTACGAAGACTTGGCTTGGGTGTTGGAATTTACCTCTCTCTCCCTGAACTAGATTGTGTGCTAAATATCTTTTACTTAGCATTGATGTTAAATGCCATTAGCCTATGAGTGAGGCTGGGTCAGTTTTACTCTGACTTGTTGTATGGAAAAATTCAATAAATTTTTGCCCTAAGAGTCTGGAGTGGAATCAGGGACTACATCTAGTATGAGATATGAAGCTGATAATGTCGGGCAGCAGAACTTACCCAGAGCAAGAACTGTGTCTTAGCATGGCTGATGTATTCTTCTTCCAATATAAATGTACATGCTAGATTTCACTCTGCTTGATCAAAGCTTCTGAAGATCTGCCACCACCTGTGTGATAGTTTATAGATACAGTTTCTACAGATAGAAATTTTCTTGTTAATGAACTTGCTGAATGTGCTGTTTTGATAAAATGCTTTTAGCAACTGTTGTTCACTGTCTTCAGCAGAAAATGCTGTTCCTATTCAGTATCTTCTGTGGGCTTCATTGTGTTGTTAAAGAAGTGGTTAAATCTTCACCTCACAATAGAACCCACTGTGTTCAGTGTTTATACCCTATTCTTAGTATGCCTAGGCACAGAGATAAAGACAATAAGAGAAAATGATACCTGAGTTTTAAGGTTGCGTGCCTAAAAAAAAACAAAAGTACCTGCACCTCGAGATACAAGGTGAAGCCATGACTTCCTTTCATAAGGAAGTGTCATACCTCCTCATGTTAAAATACTGAATCAGTGTTCTGCAGCTGGGAAACTGTGAAACATGGTTTTCCTTCTGAGAAACACAATGAGTTGCTGCATAAAATGGAAGAATGTTTTCTGTCTGCACAGTGCCCTCCTGGGTAGGTAAGAAATGGGAGAAGAGACTACTGTACTGTCTTGAACCCACCATTCCAACTAAATATCTTATTTTCTTACTGTTCTTTAGAGAGTTTCTCCAGCTTTACATTTCAGATCGAGGGGAACTTTTTTTTTTTTTTTTAAGATTAGATTTAAAGTAGAGGGAATATTAGAGAAGTCAGTGCTAGAGTTCTTAAAACTGTAAAGCTTGTTCTAGGGAAAATCACATCTTCCCCAAGTTTAGTGTCATGTGTTTCGTTCATTGTCCTTTCCCCTTTTCTTTATTATACATCCCACTTGCAAGTATGACTAATTCACGATATATTCCCATGCCATCTCGCCTTGAAAAGCAAGATTTCCAGACAACCCGGACTTTCCAGAAATTGATGCTTTTCAGTTTTATTTAATTTACCATCTTAATCAGCAGGATATACAGTGCCTTAGGAAGAAAGTAGGGTAATTAAGTAGGGTAATTACAGAACACACTACTGGTTCTCAGTTCTGCACAGAGAACTCGGTTCTCAGTTCTGTACCAAGGAGGCTTGCATGTTAAATGTGAAATGTTATTGTATGTCTGAGAGTATCTGTTAAACTGAGCTAGGTTTTCCTGTTTCCTGAACTTGTACGTGATGCTGGGAAKTGTAGCTTGTTGACAAGGAGAGAAATCTGAACAAGAACATTTTTATCCGTCTTTTGAATTGAAATACTATATTATCATGTTACTCTGCAACTTGCTGTGGAGATGGTGAATCACACTGCTGCATGGAACTGGTCAATACTCTAGTTTTTCCTGCTCAGCCCACTAGGAATCTGTAATCTGCCATTTAGCTGAGGCATCTTGTGCTGCTGCTCTCCAGATTGCCCTGTGAAGTCAGGTATGGGAAAACCAACACAGTATTCTGAAGCTGTATGAGTTTGTATACTCTGTGTGTGCTCTGAAGCCTACTGAATTTAATTTTTAAGAGACTGTATGTGCATATATGCGCATGTGAGGATATGCTTTAGTGTTACTGAGGAGGAAGGATGTCTAGTCACCCTTCCTCTGGAATTTGGCCCTATTACAAGAAGCTGTAAACATGACTCAGTCTTATGTTATTTAAAGGTACTTTTATGAAAATGTTGTCAAGCCTAGAGTCATCAAAAGAGCATCTTAAGAGGTGTGAGGGAACAATTGGTTTAAATGGTAACTGAAAACATCAAAATTGTATAGCGACTAAGAACCTCCATTACAACTTAGTACAGAAAATGGGGTTATGCACAGCAAACATTTGTCCAGGAAATATCTCTGACTCTTTCTGCACCTCGAGCACYATATAGATTAACCTGATTTGTCACAGCACCTCTGACTGTGCTTTACCTTTCTAAGCTGGACTTGAGCAACATGCGTTCAGACTCTTGAACCTTTTACCATGTCAGAACAATAAAGTTTGAATTCTTTCTCAGCAGTCATATAGACTGTAGGAAAAGTGGATGAGTATTGAGTATCTTTTGTCATTTTGTTTTAGATGTATTATGTTGGGGAAGCACCAGATCAGAGCTCCAAAGGAAACAATCTGGGAAATTATCTCACATCTCTCTCTCCACACCTCACTCCCTCGGCCTTTATTTTTGGCCCGAAATGATGAACTGAGCTCTCAGCTTTACTGCACTCATACACAGGCATCTGCAGAATCCAGAAGTTCAGTGTAGACTGCCATTTTTCTGTTTACAGTGAAGAACTGCAATTCAAAATACAGAATGCAGAAAAAATATGAACTTGCTTTTATTTCTTTTCAATGTTGCCAGTAAGGTTGAGCCTTTACTGCTGCCTTACCCAACACCTTTCCTTAAACCCTTTGCAAGTAAACCTATTCTCTGCTCTGTAAACCTCTGCTGTGTTTCTCAGCTCCTATCCTTTCATGCCCTAGTTACAGTTCATATATTTTCTTAGATTAAGTAAAGGATTACATTTTGTGGAGACACAAAAATGCCTTCTTTAAAAGCCAAAAATCAGCCTTTTTTCTGTTATCATTATCCAGTCTTATGGCATGAATTCATGGAGTGACTTGTACAAGAAGGCCTCAGGCTGAGACCCAAGGAGAACCTGAACATGCTAGTTTTTGGCATAGTTTGCGCTATTTTCCTTTCCTTGAAGTCATTCTGGCTGCAATCTGCCTACTGCTAACCCTTTGGACAGCAGTATTCTATGTTAACCAATGTTAGAAGTAATGTCTGTGGAAGGGCTGCAAAACTGAGCACTGTTAAGCTGCAAGAGGCTGAGCCTTCTGTAACGTGTTATTGTCGGAAGGATTTGCACCAAGTGTAAAAATGCATTGCTATACTGAGTCATCAAAGATAGGGAACTTGAGTTGTGTTCTGCGTAGAGCAAATCAGAGAGGAGAGACTCGGTGGCAAGCATTTAACCATAAACACTACTGTTGCAGTATTGCAACTTCATTGCAATTGCAATATTGTAGGAATAGCAGGTTAGGTTCACATACTTTAGTACTGGTACRAAACAGTCTATATACAGCAGACTTCAGCCTACTGCTTCTTGACAAGGCAGATCAGCCCTGACAGTTCTCTGCAAATGCCAGCTATAGATATCTGCATTTCATCGATTCAGCTGTGATAGGCAAGTTCAAGATCTAAGCAGAGATCTTCTTGCTAGCCATTTGGCCAAATGGAAAATAGAGACTTCCTATA